GCTCATATATATGTAAGGGTATTTCTATCTTTTCATCTTATTTTTTAATTCTAAGGGGTTTTGACAATATTAGTTTATTCTATGTCCTTTACACGCACAAAAAAAAACCTAATAAGAAGTGGTTCTCACCCAAAAAAAACCATTTTTTAATTGAGATTTTTGGTGAAAAGCCCCTTCTATGAGGTTTTTTTTGTGTGAAGCCCACCAAATAAAATAATAGTTTCAAAAGTCTCTCAAATAAAAAAATATGATGAAAAGGCTGAAATGCCCTTCCATATAATCCAAAACCCTCACTGAACCATTTCTTTTCGCTTTCTATCTCCACATTACTGGTATCCTCTCTCTTCCCTTTATTTTCTCTCTTTTTAAGCCCTAAACCCTTTTGATCTCCATTTTCGATCCATCTCACAAAATCGAAATCTTGAAATCGTCCATTGAAATCCATCACCATCTCAGATTTGATGCCTATGAACTCATGTTTGAGATTAATAATTTCAGATTTGAGATAAAATGACCTCATATATGTCTAAAAAATGATAAATTGATATATTACAATAAAAAATCGAGAGTTTTTTGTTTGTTTGTTCATAGATCTAAAGTAAAATTCGACTATAATTCATTTATCTAGTATGTACTCTGTTTTCGCAACAGTAAAATTTTACTCTGATTAATAAAAATAAAGTTTATTCTCTTGTGCATAGACAAACATTCAACAACACAGTAAAATTTTACTTCAAGATTCAGAGTAAATTTTACTCTGAAATACAGTAAAATTTACTAAAAAACAAATCAGAAACTGTATAGACAAACATTCAACAATACAGTAAAATGTTACTTTCAATTCAGAGTAAATTTTACTCTGAAATACAGTAAAATTTTACTTGAAGATTCAGAGTAAATTTTACTCGAAAATACAGTAAAATTTTACTTGAAGATTCAGAGTAAATTTTACCAGAAAATAAATCAGAAACTGCATAGACAAACATTCAACAACACAGTAAAATTTTACTTTCAATTCAGAGTAAATTTTACTCTGAAATACAGTAAAATTTTACTCTGAAATAAAGTAAAATTTTAAACATAACAGACAACACCAGAGTAAAATTTTACTCTCATTTTATCAAACAAAAACAGAGCGCATACCAGAGTAAAATTTTACTCTCATTCTGTCAAACAAAAACAGAGCACAAACCAGAGTAAAATTTTACTTTCATCATGTCAAACAAAAATAGAGCACACACCTGATTGAACTCAGCAAATCAACAAAAACAAATCAAAAATAATAACAGATTTATACAGTTTTGCAACGTAATCTCTCATTTAATTGAGAGTGTTAATCTTGGATGGTGAGATCGTGTATTATTGACCAAGGGTGAGATCGTCGGCGGTGAGATCTTCAGACTTTGAGATCGTCTTCACGGATTTCACAGATCATCTTCACTTTGTAGATCATCTTCAAGGTCGTTTTATGCATGAGCCGAGATTGTTTAAATATATGATATATATATATATATATATGAGGACAATATGGTAAAAAACAAAAAACAAATTATAGAATGTCCTTATTGAGCTGGGCTTCTCTTGCTCAAATGCTTTTTAAAAGAGAATTCATTGAGTTGTCCTTTATCTTAAAAAAAGATCCAAAAAAGGAGGTCTCACCAAAAATCCCTTTTTAATTTTTATTTATTATGTGCCTTTGCCTATTAATGGATTGGATATTGGTTCAGATCTCTCAGATATGGATCGAGGGTTTTGATTCGTTATCCGAATTTAAATGGTTGAGATACCGAATCAGGCTTGGCAACCCTTTGTAGGAGATAAAGTTCAGCCCAAATTCAGGCCAGGTGAGGTCAACCCAATTATTAAACTAGGGCTTTTTTGAATTTTTTTATATTAAAGTTAGGGCCTCATTCATGCTGCTAGCAAACATCACATGTCATTGGTGGGTTATACAGTTTGGGTGTAGTCCATCCTCTATTAAAAAGAAAGGGACGTAAGTATGATATGAAAAAAAAGATTGTTCGATTAATTTGATTTTTTATATAAATAATTTGTTTGACGAATCTTACGAACATCCATGTAAATTGGACCTGAGGCATGCTAATAATATTATGTTTTATTATAACAATCTGACGGTCCAAATTTTTTAGTTGAAATAAAATAATATTATTTTACCTTAATTTTACATTTAAACCATTAAATTATGTCATTCACTAACATATCTTACAGTTGCAGCTGATCCAAGTCCACTAAAAATGACTTTTTATTACTCTATAAATAAAGCAACCATCCCATGGGCAGTGTAGGGCAAAAGCTCACACCTTTCAGGTTAAATCTTTCTATCTCATACATTAAGAGTGTGAGTAATGAATTTACATCATACAGTAATTTTTATATAACTTTTGTTATTTATATTTCTATACACAAAAACATTACTGATTAAGTATATTTTTTATTTAATAAGTGGGTACTTATTTATTTATTTATTTATTTCTATACTTTGTACTTGTTTGTTTGGAGTTTAGTTGTTGGGAATGAGCTGGGGGGAGAGGGGGCTTTGCTTAAAAACAAAGAGAAAATGTTACCAAGAAAATGCTGTCTTATATTTAAATAATCATGTTCTTCCTATCATTCACAGACCTTTTCATTATGTTTTATATGAGCATCGTAATATTGACCTTCACTACTTATAGATGCACATGTTTGGCGTTGTTTTCCATTTATGTTTTCAAAAACAAAAGGTACTAATAAAAATATAATGTTTGGGAGTTCAAATTTGAGAACTTTAATAGAGTTTTAATGATGTATCCCACATGTTAACGTGATGTTTTGACTTGTTTTCCTTTATCTTTTCTTTTTTCTTTTTTTATTTTTTTATTTTTTTATTTGACACCTCACTAAAACTTATGTTAGAGCTCTAGTATTAGAGCTCTCTATTGCTACCCTAATGGGTGTTTCGTAGAAAAATTTCCGTTTCCAAAACAAATAACCTATCAAATTGTGTCAATTTCTGTTTTAACTGACTTTTTTTTAAAAAAAAAAAAAAACAAAAATGACGCCAAACACGCTAATTTTGGTAATAGATAAATGTGCTAGTTGCTCTGATTTTTTGAATCACAATTATGACATTTAGGTTATTGTTCAACATTGTTTTTCTATTTATTTGTGAAGATCAAAAGATTGACTTGGTAGATGAGGCGCTCCCTTGTTAAGTGTGGTGTCTAAATTCGAGTGCTCTATGCTATTTTTCATTTCTTATTCTTCTTATTGAGTGTAAATTATTATAAAAAATAAAAAATTAGATAAGAGTTTTTGCCCCTCCCACCATACAAGTATTCCATTATCCATTGAGAAGCTGCCAAAAAAGAGTCAGCCCTACCATGCATGCACAGATTCCACTTTCTTTCTCATTTTTGGGTCCCCAATTCTTTTTATCATTGTCCTTGTGATTACCTTAGAAAATAAAAGAACCAAAAGTGGATCCAAATATACAACCTTTGCCTGGAAAAAGGGTTGTAATCTCTGTAGAAGATGAGTCCACTTTGTTCTGCCCTGAAAATGAAAAAACTGTGTCTTCAAACTGAATTAAAATTACTCAAGTAACAGTTATTTGATTCAGCATAATGTCATTGCTAGGGTGGTTGTGAAAGGGCTTTATTTTCCCTTCAATTAATCGGATCAGAAAATAAATGAATCCAATATTGCATGGCTCATGTTGATAGATCCACTTAAGTTATTAGAAGCTCTTTTTTTTCACAAATCCTTTTCATTTTTTTTTTTCTATACACAAATCCTTTTACAAATTTAATGTCCAATTTATGTTGCCTTTTAAGGGTTTATTTGACATGTTTAACTATTTATTTTTTTATCATTTATTGAAAAATGATGAGCAAAAAATTCCATGGAGAGCCAAACAGTGCTGTCCATTTTTATTATATTTGGTAGACTATTCTTGCAATCTTTGATGCTTGTAAATAAGAGAACACACAAGATTTTGTTCTATACATATAATAAACATCCATACTTGTACAGTAATTGGTTTGTTGTACTTATCATTGTTCATGGGCCACGTGACTAGGCTAAGAAAACATTTCATTTTGGCCTGTTTATGTGGTGTTGTCGAACTTTTATTTAATTTGAAAATTCTTGGGTATCTATAAAATAAAATATACAGTATATACAGTTTCAACTTTGATGTTGTGCAAGTCTTGTCGAAGTATACTCATGCAATACATTTTTTAAATGCTTTTTTAAATGAACATGGTATATATGACTCAGATTCCTTTTTTTTTTTTTTTTTTTAAATGCTTTTTTAAATGAACATGGTATATATGACTCAGATTCCTTTTTTTTTTTTTTTTAATTTTTTTTTTTTCGAATATCTTTTTATTACATGATGAGTTCATCGAGCTCTAATTAATCGATAGTTTCAAATGAATATGAGAATCACTTGATTAGTTAAGTATGCGATAATGTCAATATCCATCATCTATTTATTCAATTTTAATGACAACATGTAAAATGCTACAATTATCTATGTTCAACTTCAACTATGCACATTCATTCATGTTTGCCCTCCAGTTTGATTAATAAAAGTCATTGATTGTATTCAAATCCTTGATAGATGTGTTTAGATCAAGAATTTAAGAAGATATTTGTGATTGGAAAATACAAATATAAGGAAAAAGTAAATGACTTTATATTTCATTAATTCTTTTCCCTTTCCTTGCATAAATTCTTTTTAGCATATTGATATTTTTTTCATTCTCACAATGTAAAAAGGAATTTAAAAAAATACTGATGAGTGGTCAATGTAAAATGATCTAGATATTCTTGTCAAAAATGTATAACAATGTGTCCAAATGTCTAAAAATTTATTAAAAAATACACTACAATTTTAATTATTTTAAAATTAAACCTATCTTAAATGCAGCTTTGTAAGATTTTCACTAAATGATATATTAAAAATAAAAAATATGCTTGTGGCAATGGATGGAACATAGAGACAACAGGCAACTTCATATTATAAACTTATAAAGAGCTAAAGTGCTAAAGTTTAAAAAATCAAGAAAAAAACAATTGCTTGAAAATATAATTAAATAAAGAAGAAAAAAAAAATGTACAAGCATGGAAGAGCAGTAAAAAAGCACTAGAAAGTAACACTCCAGTAGTTTCCTTTTCCCTAGTAGATAGATTAGATACCCTTTTCATCAGCTTGGCTCAAAACCCAACCCCAGCGGCTCCCACACCAATCGTGGCTCGGCGATGCGGCTCAAGCTTCCTATCCTTCCAAAAACATGTCTCCGGCGCAAGCTTAGCCGCCGCCGTCCTCATCGGCTCCGACTTACACCGAGTCAACACGAACGGCTCATAAGCCACGGCGTTCACAAGCTTCTGCTCTATCATCGTCGCCATGGACACGCCAGCGACGGCGGCCGGCAAAGAACAGGAGGATCGCGGCGGGTGGTGGTGGTGGTGCGGCGGTAGAGGAGGATTAGAGTCAGTGCTGATCCTTTTCTTCGGTTCATCAGCATCGTCCTTTGGGTTGACGTGTCTCTCTGGTAGCCATCGGATGAAGTCGGCACTGCAGACCCATGTCTCCTTGGAAACCTCCATTGATAGCTTGGGCTCGTATCTCATCAACAGCAAGCAGTCCGGCAACAATGAACTTGTTTCTCTCACTTCACGTTCTCTCTCTACATTGGGTACGCTTTCTTCGTTTCTCTCCTCTGACTCTATGCTATCTTCTTCTTCTTCTTTCTGGGTTTGTTCTGATTCGGATCTCTCATGGGTCACCATCTCTTGTTCTTCGTCTTTCAAAGGCTTTTCCTCTTCGGTCTCTTTCTCTTCTGTTGACTTCTCTACATCTTCTTTTTCTTCTTCTTCTTCTTCCAATGTTGCTTTCTCCTTTAATTCTTCTTCTTCTTCTTCTGCTAAATCTGAAAATACGGACGATACTGAAGAAGAGCGATGGCTCGCTCTAATCTCTTCCTCTTCTGTCTCTTGAATCAACAGTGGATCTTCATTTTCGAAGTTCTTTGGATCTACAACAGCTTCAGATGAACAATCGTTTTCACTTTCTTCTGCAGCCACTGTCTCTTTCGCTTCATGGACTTCTGGGTCTGGTCCTTGATCTTCTTCTTCTTCTTCTGGTAGTTCGTCATGGATCTCTAACTTTTCCTCTTCTGGGTTTTCCTTTGCTTCATCTTCTTCTACCTCCATAACCACGTTTGCTTCTGCTTCTGGGTTCTCTTGTTCTTGTTCTTCAATGGCTTCAGTTGAAACCATCTTCTCATACACTTCAACCAGCTCTTTATCCTCCATTAGTCTCGAATCATCTTCATGTGCTTCCTCTCCATCTTCTTCCTCTTCTTCACCGTTGAGACCAGGTGATTCCCAGAAACGATTAGCAAGAGCTGACATTCTAATCGGATCAGATCTGCATCTCATCAACAACAGAGCATTCTTCGGAGGTATACAAATGCTCACTCCCCCTTCCTCTTCCTCCTCCACCACAACACCACCATCTTTCACTTCACATTTCTCCTCATCATTGATCTCTATCTCTTCCATCGCATGTCTGCTGAAAGTCCTCTCTCTCCTCTCTGTCTTCTCTTCCTCCTCCTCCTCCTCTCCTCCTCCAACCACCAACTCAATCTCCCTCCCTTTCCCTCCCTCACCGTCCTGCAATGCCACCAACCACCTCGCAAACACAGCCCCGCAAGAACTCTGACCACTCTCTTCGCTCGATCCATTCGCTTTCTCTTCCTTTTCCCTCTCGCTCGTCGAAAAACAAGACGAAGATCGGCAAGGAAACAAGCAACTGAACTCAGCCCCAAATGCCCTCACAGCTTCACAAATCGTCAATGGCAAGTGAACCCACCTCTGATTCCTATGAGGCAAGCACTCATTGTTCGTCGCTTGATAATTCTGGGTATGACTTTGATTATTCACACCTTCACGAGCTTGTTCGATTCTCCGAAAGCTCACTTCACCACTACCCCCTCCTCTTCGTGTCCTCATTTTCTTCCCCTGTTTCTTCGTCTTCACTCGAACTTGCCCAATACAGGTGACTTTGGGAGAAGAAGGCTCTGGGTTTTCGAAAGCACAGCCTCGTTTCTTGGCTCCGGTGGGGAACATGGGAGATTGGCCGCCTTTGAGGCTGCCGTTTGTTCTGAGTCGGCGGCTGAGAGAGGTGGAGAGAGAGATGGGTGCGTCGCGAGCGCGGCCTGGGCTGAGGATTGACTTGGAAGAGATCTTCATGGACGGGGAAGAAGAAGAGGAGAGGCGAGAGGTGAAGCAGATGAAGAGTTCGCTGGTACTGCTTGTGCTGGCAGTGCGATGGGGTCTCTCTGATGAGTCCATTATTGCTCTGTTTCGGCCATTAACAACCATAAAAATGGCTGATGATTGATTTTATTGCAGAGAGAGAGAGAGCTAACAAGTATGCGAATACGATAAGAAAATGAGGTGTGTGATTAGAACATGTATGGTGGGGGTTGTTAGTGCAGATAGATAGAAAGATACAGATGCAGTGACGAAGAGACACAGAGAGAGAGAGAGAGATAGAGAGAGAGAAGATAAATAGAAGATGACGAAATGCTGTTTGTCGTTAGCCCAGAGTAACGATTATTGTTAATGAGGGTTCCATTACACCATCTCCCGGCTTAAATTTGATAAAAAATAAAAAATAAAAACTAAATTCTATTTTAACAGTTACATTAAATAAGTATTAAATTAAAAATTTTACTTTTATTTCATTAAATTAAAAATAAATGTACCTTTGATGAAATCATTGTTCATTGTTATTGCTATCCTTCTGGATATTATCTCGAATGATCACTTCAACATAAAAATTTATGAAAAAATTGTACTACCCGGTCAACCACCTCAAGACAAAAAAAAAATAAAATAAAAAATTTACATAGAGCAGCCGGACATCTACCCAGTCGACAATGTTCTAATGAAACTCCAAAACTCTTCGTTTGAATACTTAATATCAAATGAAACTTTTATTCAAATTCGATAAAAAAAAATTGATGCACTTTTAGAGATGTTTGTATTCCTAAGCTTTTGTTGGTCAATTAAACATTTTAATCAAAAAGTTAAAAAGTTACTATAAGAGCATTTCTAACGGTTCACCAAAAAATTCATCAAATTTGAGTAAAAAGAATGTCGAATTCCTCTATCTAATATCGCCTGCTCCAACAAAGAGATTTGGCTTTTCATCAAATTATCGGTCTACCGGACGGACGACCGGGAGAACGATCGACCGGTCGACCAATCAATGCAAATTTTTTACTTTGAGTTTGCATCTGAAATTAAAACCCAAAATACTTCTTCGAATGCTTCCTCACCCCATGGATACCAATTGACCTTAATAAAATAAAAATAAAATAAATCAAATTAGAGAGTCTAGAGAGAGAGTGAGAGTTTCTATTAGAAAACCCAAAAAGAAAAAAAACAGAGTACATACAAAACAATAATAACATGCATATCCAAATCCCTATCCCATCTACTCCTTACAACAACACAGCATGATCTCATACTCCACATGCAATTCAAGAATTAGCATACAAGGACTAAACCACCAATCTATCACATACCTATAACAAGAAAGAGGGTTGTGTTCGGAAGCAAGACGATTGGTGTGCTTGTGGTGGGTGGTCTGTGAAGGCGGCTTCTAGGACTGTTCAGCCATGGCAAGGACCTTGTGGTGGGAGTGAATGGGTCGTTGGGATTAGATTGAAAAGGCTTAAGAAAGTGAGGCAACTCGTAGTATATTGAACACCCACATCCTCAAAGCATATCAAAATTCAGATATGTTTGTTCGATTAATCGGATATTCGGTCGATCGTCCTGTTGGTCCCGTCCAACGTTACTCCACAATAAATTGGTGAAAGCTTTCCAGATCCTTAGTTTGGTAAAACATTTGACATTTTTCTCAATTTGATACTATTTCGGTGAAACCATCTGGTAAACCATTAAAGATGATCTAAGTTGTCAAATCACTTTTCTTTATTTTTTTTGTACATCTTTTCATACAAAATTAAAAAATTATTAAAATAGACTTCCCAAACCAAGCTTTTAAGCCCAGGCTAAAATAGCCAAAAAAGTCAAAAAGCCAAAAAGCCAACCCACTTCCCAAACCAAGCCTAAGTTTGGTAAAACATTTGACATTTTTCTCAATTTGATACTATTTCGGTGAAACCATCTGGTAAACCATTAAAGATGATCTAAGTTGTCAAATCACTTTTCTTTATTTTTTTTGTACATCTTTTCATACAAAATTAAAAAATTATTAAAATAGAATATTCTCAAACGAGACCTAAATATTAATTTCAACAATTAACTTACTAAATTTATCAAATAAAAAATTTATTTAATTCATTTATCTTAATTTTTTAATAAAATATCACACTTATCTATGCACATTGATAATTTTATAACCGGGTCAATTTATGCGCATTGCGACTAATTTTGAAATTTACACAAACCATTCCCTCCACATAAATCTAACAAATCTCAGGCTTTAGCGGATGTGATTCCAAGGAGCAAATTACTCTTAATAAGAGTTAAACATAAGATATAGAAAGAACACACTCTTAAATTCCAAATTACCCCTATTAAGCTAATCCCTTAGAATTGATAAATAGTGAATACATGAGAGCACACCTCTAATAATCAACAAGCCAACCATTTATGATTATTAGCCCAACCTCTTATGAATATTGATTCACTTTACTCATAAATAAATATATGTGTATGCCATATAACAAAACACAATTAATTATTTTATAAATATTTAATGGAGGTGGATTCCGTCCAATTCAAAATCTGAATTGATGCGTATACAAGTACAAATAATGTTATGCAAATAAAAAAATTTATACATAATATTCTCATTCATTGTAAATTATTCATTTCAAAACAAAATATTATTAAAAATAAATTTATTTACAATAATGATATTGTCACATCATTCTTATCAAAAAAATTTATATGTTTACAATTTTTCTACAAGTAATTGTAATAAGTTACTATTTATTTATATAATTATGTCTATAATTTTTTTTGTATGTCAACATATGTGACAATATGTACAAAATAATTTCGATTGATAGTGTTAGTGGAGAAGTCATTTTCCCTTGGCAGTAGTAACCCCGTGGATCTTCCTAACAAAATCCATGTGATCCCTCGTGGTTGGTTAGGGACCAGTAGTAGTAGGACTGTCCTTTTCACCCAGAGTGGACTCACAGAGAGGTGTGTCAATCCTATGGTCAGCCCATTGAGTTCTCTTTGAGCTTCTCCAATTTTGTATGTTTTTCACAACTTACAACTTAAATTGGGAAGTTGAAAAAAAATTCCTAATATTAAGTTAGAAAGATTTAATTTATCATAACGAGTAATGGTATATATATCAATTAATATACTAATTGATGATATAATATAATTTAAGATATTTTTAATATTTGTAATTTATATAATGAATGAGGTCAACAATAAAGTCATAACTATTATTGGTACAGTAATTAGTACACTAATTAGTACATGTAATGTCACTCTATCATAATAACACATTATTATCAATTGTAAGAGTAATGTTAGGTATCATGAAAAATCTTTCATAAAAATAATCATGAAAACTTTGTGACCATTGAATTACACTTAGAATAAAGCACCACACACTAATCAAGGTAATTCAAGGATCATAAATCTTTCAGGATCATTCTCATAAAAAATATTTTATGATCCCTAACTTTTTTCTTTAAACAAAAACTTGACTCACCTACTTCAATACTTTAGTCAATACCATGTCAAATTTATTAGCTATGTCTAACTTAAAATCAATTGAGTGGAGAAGCATAGACTACTTAAGGTATTTTGAAAAGTTGGTAAAAAGTTAATTTTTTACTTTTTACCAAATTTTTTAGCTTTTTGGAAAGTGATTTAGGAAGTTAGTAAAAAATTGACTTTTTACTTTTTAGTTTAATATTTATTTATGGTGTCAAATCAAATTAAAATGATCAAAATACCCTTACCCAACATAAGAATTTTATTTTTTTATTTTTTTTTTCATAGGCCCTAATTTGTAATTTTACACCTGCGTTTTTAGTACTTGCCAAACCAATTTTCTAGCGTTTTTGGCACTTGCGTTTTTGGACATTTTGTCCAAAAACGTGACTTTTTACTATGAAAAGCCAACTTAAGGCATATGAAAAAAAAATAAAAAATAAAGCCAACATAGTAAAAAGTCACGTTTTTCGACAAAATGTCAAAAAACGCAAGTGTCAAAAACGCCAGAAAATTGGTCTGGCAAGTGCTAAAAACGCAGGTGTAAAATTACAAATTAGGGCCTATGAAAAAAAAATAAAAAAATAAATTTCTTATGTTGGGTAAGGATATTTTGGTCATTTTAATTTGATTTGACACCATAAATAAATATTAAACTAAAAAGTAAAAAGCTAATTTTTTACCAACTTCTCAAATCACTTTTCAAAAAGCTAAAAAGCTTGGTAAAAAGTCAAAAGTCAACTTTTTACCAACTTCTCAAAACACCCTTTAGCCTCCGTTTGGGAAGTGGGTTGGTTTTTTAATTTTTTTGGTTATTTTAACATAGGCTAAAAAGTTTGGTTTGGGAAGGGTTTTTTCACTTTGGCTTGGTTTGGGAAGTAGGTTGGCTTTTTGGCTTTTTTGGCTATTTTAGCCTGGGCTAAAAAGCTTGGTTTGGGAAGGGCTTTTTGACTTTTTGGCTTTTTTGACTTTTTTTGTGAGAGAAGAATGTAATGATTATAGGTTGGATGTGATGTTTTGTTTGTTATGGCTAAAATAGCCTATTTTGTTTTTTGTGGCTAAAATAGCCAAAAAAGCCTGAAAATCAACTTGCCAAACAGAGGCTTTTTAACTTTTTTAACTTTTTTTGTGAGAGAAGAATGAAATTATTAGATTAGATGTGATATTTTGTTTGTTGTAACTAAAATAGCCTATTTTGTTATTTTGTCTTTTGTGACTATTTCAGTCTCAAAACCACTTGCTAATGCTATACTTGTTTTATTTAATTTGTGTATAAAAGATAGAAAATAGGAAAATAATTTTTTTTTTTTTAAACTTTGGATTGGTTGGGTTACAGAGCATAAATAAAATAAATAGATTTGTAAATAAATAAATTCCGTACTCACTAAAAAAACCTGTAAGTTATTTTATTATTTTTTTATTTTTTTATTTTGATAAATTTAACATATAAACATATCATAAGAACATTTAAACTACAGGTTCGTTTGTGATGTGAGTTGACTTTTTGAATTTTTTAATTTGAGACTAAAAAATCTCGTTTGAGATGGGCATTTTGACTTTTTTAAGAGAAAAAAATATAATAATTATGAGTTACATATGATATTTTGTTTTATTAAGCTAAAAAATCTATTTTATTTTTTTATAACTATTTTAATCAAAAAACTTGAGATTTTTTCTTTCCAAATGAGCTCTAGGTATATAAATTCAAGTTTGGTTCATCTAATTTCTAAACGAGTGCAAAGTATTATTGTAGAGTATTAAGAAAGTAGGTACACT